GCTTGGACGACCCCTTTAAAGAAAAACTGTGGGCACTGTAACCATAATTAATGGATTGAAGTGGTTACGGTGGCTGGAGTGTTAGGTCCCGTATGAGTACTAAATAACTCACTAGAAATTCTACGGCACTTGCAGTCTGAAGTTCGGCATCCAATGATATAATGGAGGTGAAGCTGAGTTATGATTAGATTCAGGCTGTACTAAACGCAGCAGCTGGATATCTCGTCGTTACATAGTGGTCCAGTGTGGAGAACCTCTGTTTGCACCTTCTGCAGTTGCATACTTCATGTAATTGCTCTTGTGAGCTCTGGACATATAGTATCAGGTAACCCACGTCAAAGCTCTAAACTGCCCTCAACACACATGAGCCATTACTGGAGGTCTGCAACTGGAGGGTGAATGCCTGAGTCCTCAGCTAAAGGATTTAAAACTCGGTACTAATAATTAGAAAGGGAAACCACTGTACATACAGACTCCAGACACCAAGACCACATCAAATCACTAAATTGGTCATAGTTCTTGACGTAACCCTTTAATAACTGAACATTTTAAGCAGAGCTCTCCAAACCATGCACAAGGCCCTTTTCCACCACTTCATTACCCAAGCAAACCGAACCCAACCGAAGATTGAATGTACTCACTTCTGTTGCCAACGGTTTAGACATTAATGGCTGTGTGTTGAGTTATTTTGAGGGGTCAGCAAATTTACACTGTTATACAGGCTGTATACTTACTACTTTACATTGTAGCAGAGTGTCATTTCTTCAGTGTTGTCACATGAAACGATATAATAAAATATTTACAAAAATGTGAGCGGTATACTCAATTTGTAAGCTGCTGTACATTCTATATGTCTGAAATATCAGAAGTACTTCTTGGCGTGGGCCCTCAAACTTTCAAAACTCAATAGAGCACTAGGCCCAGATGGACTTCCGATTTGGTACATCAAGGTATTTCATGACCTCCTTTTGTTGCCTTTACTCAAAGGTCTGAATTTAATTCTTGAAGGCGGCAGGTTCCCACATGACTCCCTGATGGTGAATATCGCGGTTATCCTGGAGGAAGGTAAAGATCCAGCATGCTGTGCAAGTTCTCGACCGATATCTCCCTTGAACACTGACATGAAAATATCCAAGGTTGTGAGGAAGGTGCTACAGGATTTGATTGACCTTGATCAGATGAAATTCATGCACGGTAGAGAGGCGAAGGACAATACAATGTGTGCCCTTGATTTAATACATGTGACATGGAGCTCTGGATGTGAGATCCTTCTCCTCTCGACTGACGCAGAAAAAGCTTTTGAAAGGGTTGACTGGCAGTTTATGACCATGACACTACATGACCATGACACTACAATCCATTGGGTTTCGGTCCAAATATGCTGATATGGATGAAATTCCTGTACATGACCTCAAGTGCACGTATCCGCATCAATGGCATGCATCAATGGCATGCTATCATTGCCATTCAACATCAAAAATGGCACCCGACAAGGATGCTCCCCCTCCAGTTTGCTCTCTCTAGAACCATTTTTGGAAGCGGTCAGGTGGAACGGGGCCTGATGGGACATAAAATACCTGCATATGTGGACAATATGCTGTTCTTCCTTGGAATCCCGATGGTTTTCCTTCCCAATCTATCAGCTTTTGCAGAATACAGAACACTTTCTAGTTTAAAACTCAACACTGATCTATCAGAATCCCTCTCTATCGTGATGACAGAACCTATAGTGTTTCAGTTATGATCTCAATTCAAATTCATGTGGTGTTACAACCAGATTTGATACCTGGGCATTTGACTCACGTAAGATTTGGACCAGTTGTACATGGACAACTTTACCCCCTCATTTTTGGGATATTATGGTTGGACTTGGAGAGATGGGGCAAATTACGCGTGTCCTGGTTTGATAGGATTAAATCCTTAAAGATGAACCTTTTGCCCAGATTGCTCTATCTCTAGACGTTCTTAAACACGCTCCAACAGGCTGTCTTTAAAACAATAGATACAAAGTTTGTCTGGAGAGAGGCGACCCCTAGAGTTAAATGCTCACTTCTGCAACTACCAAAGACCTGAGTGGGGTGAGCCTGCCATCTATCCAAATGTATTGCTTCCAGGTTTCTGACTGGCATGTTCGAGACACTTTTAAACACTGGATGCACTTGGAAAAATGGATAGCGGGCAGTAGGCTACCATTGACAGTCTGGCTAGCTGACCCCCTGAAAGATCACTATCTTTTGGGACACCTCTTTATCAGAGTGACCATTAAAGTCTGGAGCCCTATTTCAAAAATACACACTAGTTCTATCTACAACAATGTTGTGATTCTACCTCCCTGAAAACGCTACCAGATCTAATAT